ATCAATTTTAATCTACATATTTCGTGGTACCACAAATAATATCATCTTATCAGCCACTCATTATTATTTAAATAGTTTATAAACAACTCTCAAACATGCTTACTCCACGAATTGGATAAGATAACATACAAACATTTCACGTGTTTCTCTTCTTTAATTTTGCTTAGCATAAGTATATTAAACTAGATAGAATTGAATAAGATATTTGACTCTAGAATATCAAACATGTCTTCGCGAGTCCATCTTAACTTACAAACACATGATTTAAGTTTACATTATACTAGACACGACAACTAACAAAAAATTTATGAAGACTTGAAATTTCATTTTAAATTCCAACATTATTAAAAGAAGTAACCCAAATATTATATCTTGGTTATAGCTTCCGTATTTAATTAAATTTATTTATTAACGCAGCCCACGTGAATCTCTTTTATAATTATGTACAATCGTGATCCGTCTAACATACCAAATGTGTCGATGTAAAAGTGGACAAAACTAAACTATATCAAACAAAAATAGCAATATGAGTAGCATACCAAGCAACGAAGTAAATCTTGCTTTTCTGGCAGTTTTCATTAGTAGTAAAGTCAAAATCATATACTGCATAACGACATTCATTTGCAGGCAGGGAGGCAGTGAAATCATCGTAACTGTCTTGAGGATTCCCAAGTTTCTCCACAACAACTTGTTGATTCTCAATCTTGAATACTATGTAACGGTAGTTTCTTTTTGCTTTTAATTCCAGAAATTTCAGTTTGCACTCATCCTGGACTGCCATTCCAGATGCTGAATTTGCCTGCCAAAAAAAATGAAATCTATCTGTAGTTTGAATAATTACCATTTCTAGTACATAAAGACCTAAACCCAACTTTACCAATCATTCTAGAATATTAAAATTATATAATTTTGTATCATTTTCATTGAAATATGATCGATCCCACAAAATTAAATTAATTTTACATGAAATTTGTATGCATGACAAATTATATATGATGTACAATTCATTATCATCAAGAACAAAACTTAAATGCATCTTGTCAATCATATTCTTATAAGAAAACAACAAAGTCGTATGCATGACAAATATGATATATAATTCTTTAGAATTAAGTAACTTGTACATTCTTGTTGACATCCCTCCTATGTGTCAAAAATTTGGCCAGTGATGTGAAAGAATATTGTAAAAATCAATGAATATGATGAAAAAGTTAATGTATCTTTATCATCAAAAACAAAAAAATGTGTTTTGAATCATGTTTATCTAAGAACACAACAAATGTTTACATATGACAAATGCAGTATATAAACAATTCATTATCATCATAAGCAGAAATATCTAAGTGTTGTGAATCATACTTTTTTTAGAATGCAACAACTATATAAGCATACAACTATGAAAAAATTGATTTGAAAACCATTATCATTATAATACAAGTTGTGTATCATAAATTTCTGAGAACGTAATGAATGAATATGAAAACACGACAAGCAAAGAGAGAAGAAGACAAGGTACCATGTTGTCTTATGAAGAGTAGAAAGAGCTTCAAAACAATAAGAAAATGGAAGGAGAAAGAGGGATGGCATAACAAGGAGGATGGATCCAAAAGAGAGGAGAAGTTAGGCTGTTTTAAAATAAGAGAAATATATGGAGAATAGGAGAATTTTGAGGGAGCAAATAAGGGTGAAGAATTGTCGAGACTTATTGGTTCATAATTAGCTCTCGTTTGGTTTATTAAAAAATAAATAAAATTAGATTTTTGTTAAATTTTGACAAAAGTTGATGAAACGTGTGGATAAAATTTAAGGGCCTGTTTGATAGACTTTTTTTCCATGGAAAATTCCATTTTTCACTTTTACCATGTTTGATAGCCAAAATTTTCGCCCACCCCCACGTGACATGACCCATTTTTCCATGTTTTTGTTGAATTGGTTTTCCCACCACTTTGGTGGGAAAACGGTTTTCAACTTTTTTTTTTTTTTTTCATTTATTAGGTTTTTATTATTTTAATTAAACAATTAATCTTTTATTTCATGTTGCAAATGTTATAAGGCGTTGTTTGATAGGTGCCATTTTTCATGGAATTTGGAATATATTTTCCAACCTTCCACTTTTTATCATGTTTGATGGGTAAAATATTTCATGGAATTTGTTTTCCAACGAAGTTTCACATGATTGGCTTTTCCTTGTTTTTGAGGAATTGGTTTTCGCACCACTTTGGTGGAAAAATGATTCCAGCCCTCACCTTTGTCTTTTTTGCAATGAAAACAAATTTTATGAACAATTGTAAAAAAAATTCTTGTAATGGACAATTTTTATGGAAAACAAAATCAAACGAATACCAAACAATCCAAAATTTCAAGATTTTCCAGGTGGAAAATTATACCGATCAAACACAATTAATTGACAATTCCCAGGAAAACAATTTGAGGCAATTCAATTCCCTGTAATTCATTTTCTTTCCACCCAAATTCTACTTTTACAATCAAACGGACCATAATTGTTAACTGTTACTTCAATTTTTTTTCAAATTTTTAGTTGAACCAAACATGAGCTTAATGTCCATACAAATTAACTATTCAAGTAATGTTATTTATTATTATGATGATAGAATATCGATGATGTAGCAATACATTATCCCTCATATTTTTCTCTCTTCCCCCATCTCTCTACTGTTTCATCACATTATTCCACATAAATTGTCACATAACCGATGTTTTATCATTATAATGATAAATAACATTATTCTTAACTATTATTCTCTTAACATCACATCACAATATGCATTTATCAATGGGGTGTATACATGATGAGAGAAAAATAATCTCGAGTCTTAAGAAATGTTGCTTAATTTATACTAAGTAACAGTAACATGACAACTTTACTGGTTATGTAACATGTTTTAATTTTTCGATTTTTACGTATAACAAAACCAAATTACTATATATTTTTCACGTGGAGCTGATTGGGTTCAATTCTTACAATGTTTAGCGGTTGTTTGATCCCAATTCTTCTAATTTTTTTTGAATTACACATTCTCTAAAAAAAAAAATAACAATTTTATACATAAGCCCAAAAAATTTTCATAAAAAATCATTTCTTACAAATTTTAATTAAAACATGGGGCTCAAACCGGACACCTATATTTTCATATTAGCCATTTTGACCAATTTAGGGATATCAATCCAGCTTGTCGGATTCCCGCAGCTCAGCTCGAAAAAAGCTCGGGCAGGCTCAGCTCATGGCTTGTGTCCATCGAGCCAAGGCTTAGACCGAGCTTCATTTTCAAGCAACGGCTCAAGCTTGAGATGGCCTGCGTGGCTCGACGAGCTACACCAGGGGGGTTGTGTGACAGGCCATTTTTGGCTCGTAATTCTATGGCCACTTTTTGCCCAAAAAGGGAGTAGGATTTAACTTTTTAAAATCTATAATTAGTATAAATTGCACAACATTTACATTATTGAAAAGAAAAACTTTATTTACTGCAATTTTGATTTCCACATATTATAAAAACAAAATTATCGTCAAGATTTCTCTCCTTTCAAGCTTTGTCGAGTGTGATTCTCTCCTACTAGCTACTGATTTAAAATTTATAAAATGTTGGCATTCTTGCTCCCAACGCTAGTGTGTTCTTCGATGTTTCGGCAAGTTGTGACACTCTTGCCTTTATGTTCCCCGTAGTATGAATAAAACAGTCGATGAACTGGCTTCTTTTGCTTTTTCATATTGTTAATGAACTTATTGTATGTCGTATTTTGAAAAACACTATGTCCTCCTTTCTTTTGTTTGCTATTTGTAGATTTGCATAATAAATTATTACCTTTTGAATTAAAAAAAAATATTTTGCCAATTAATTATTCAATAAAAACTAAGATGTGCTTATGTTAAGAATATTCATACATTTATCATATATTTAATAATTGAATAAATATATAATCAAGAAGTATGACAAAGATGAATATGTGGCTCTCCGATCGAGTAAATGAAAAGATAATGATTTTTTATAGCGAATCAAGTGAACGTTTCGCTACCTCTATATCGCAATAAAAAGAGAGAGAATATATCGTTTAAATTACCATAATATTGGGAACAATTTCAGAAATCTTAAAAAAAAAAAAATGAGGGGAATTCTGAAATTTATGAATTAATTAAATTCCTAAACATCAAATTTAAGAATATTTTATTGTTCACCTAATTTGTCAAATGTAAAAGTTAATATTTAAATTTATTAATTATGCTATCTGTACAAAAATTAAGCTAAATGAACATAATACTTGATACAGGGGTTGACGGACCTCTCACGTTGCATGTGAGTCCGACTTGAATTAAATAATAACGACCTCCCCCATGTGTGTGTTGTGTCATTCCCTAGGTCAAGCATTATGTTTGTGTAGCAAAACTCATCTCTACCATCATTTGACAATAATGATTGACAAGGTTGGTGCGAGTGAATTGTGAATTAATATTGTAAAACTTACTGGATGGAGGCCAATCTGGAAAAATTGTTTAGAATGGAAAAAATCTTGTAAAGCCCAATTACGATAAGGACAATGCTACATAACCAGGGTTAAAACCAGGCTTAAAAACAGAATACTCACACAAGTTTTTAATAATATAAAATTGTCTTTAGTTAAAGTACTATTTTGCCCTTAATGAGATATTTTGCAAGGTAAGTCCTATATCTTTCAATTATTAGATAATTGGGAATTATTATCTTATACGATTTTCTTTTAGCTTTTCTATCTGTTCCAAGTATTCCCTATATTTAATTAATTTTTCATAAGCTCTAGGTTCATCTTTCTTAGTTATATATCCAAAAACAATTCCTTCTGAAACTTCTTCTTTTATATTTTCGAATTTAGCTATAACATCTTCAACTCTTTCTATTTCTTTACTAGTTTTTACAGAGTTAAATTCTATATTATGTTTACAGGCATAATCTATATCAAAATATATTTCTTTAAGTTTTTCTTGACCAACAGGAATTATATCTTCAGATTTTTCAACAATACTTAACAAGAATGAAACATCTTTCTTATCTAAATATAATTTAAGACAATCATCATTAGAAGTGGATGCTTGTGAAGTGTTCATGAAGATCAAAATATAAATATAAAAGCATGTAAATAACTTACAGTAGTCAATGGAAATAAACAGGCTTTCCCTCCAGCATGTTCTTATAGTAGCTTTGCATGTATTTAATCACTCTTCTGAATCAGATGAACATTTAAAATGTTTTTGAAATCATTTGGGTCCACAACTGCTTCTGCAAAAGGCTTTTCAATTAAGGTTGTATTTCTCACTCTAGAGAACTAGCCGTGTTACCACAGACGCTATCTCACAGTATTCAGAGTCTCTGTTTCACCTCTATTCAAACTCTTTTCAGAACAAGTTCTTATTTAGAACAAGATTTAAAAAATAATTCACACACAAGGTGCTACAATTTTTGTTAGAAAACTGCCATTTTCCCCTAAAACATTCATCAAATACGGGTACTTTGGCATGGCTAACATCCATTCAAAAGCAATGTTTTGAAAATCTTTTAAAATCTCTATTTGTACTGTCGAGGAATCATGAGAAACTTAACGAAATCCTTTCATAGAAATTTTGTTAAACCATAAAAACTTCATCTTGATATTCATAAGATTGAAATAATACATGCTTGCTTACTATATTTATATACCTTTGGTACTCACCTTATGAAATTTAGAACTCCATAAGTGATTACCTTATTACAAGCTTTTATTATCTTCAAAGCTAGCTAATTTCTTTTCTGAATACAAGTGGTGTATACAGATATGATATTTCTAATAGAAAATTCGGGATTAGAGAGAGATGCCAGGGATGCCAGAGATGTCCCTAGTCTTTGGACCTCCTCTCCTTATATAGAGGATTTTTCTTCAAATGATCAGGAACCTTATCTTCACAGCTGTCTTCCTTTATTTCTTGTCTGCCATCTTCCTTTGTTTGGTAGTAAAAATGTCCACCTTTTGAGCTGGTGAGTAGGTGAAGAGTTATTATCATACCCACTT